CGAAATGGCTGCGATATTATTAAAATAGGACCAGAATCTACATATATTAAATATATTCTTGCCCCAATTCAATCTAAACCTAATCGAACAGCATCAAAGAACGGTTTATTTGTTTTTCTTTGAGGAATTGCTGTATCATGCGAGCGAAATCGAATCGCGCAATGGAAAATTAGCCAAAGCTGCATGTGCACCACAACTCTTGGGAGACAAAACTGTGACGTAGATAAATACGGTCTCATACACTATTGAAATACTAGTATATTTCGCGCCAAAATACACTTACAAAAACAAAACCGAGGCCAATTTCACCATTTCAACGACTACGAATTAGCAAATAATACCAATGAAACCTTTATCAGTATTATGTAAACTATCAACCGTTAACAAATTATGTGTCCCATCGTAATTATCGCTACTCTGGTTTAAATAAATGAAAGTAATCACCACACAAAGATTAACTTTCACGACCCAACGTTTCGACACTCCGGTCTAGTGTCTTCATCAGGGGTGATCTGATGTTGAAACTCGGTTCCTTATATACTCTCAAAATGACGTCATCTATCAATCAGATGTAAATAATCTTTTGGCAAATAGCTTCCGTCATCCCTATTAAGGGCACAAAGACTCGCATTAATATGCCAGGCTTCCAAACAACGCCTTTGTCCATAACGATCATTAGTGGTAATGACTTTTGGATCGTTCCATCCACCCAATGTTATGGTTAGTTTGACACACGTGTTCCACCAAGGCTGATTTTGTCTAAGTTCGAGACGGCCTTTTGATGTTCTTTTAAACATGTGCCGAACTGGCGTTTTGTTTGACCTAGATATTCTTTCTCGCAATCACCACATGGTATAGAGTATACAGCATGAGTTTTCTGTTTACTCGCTACGCGATCCTTGGGTTTCGCGAAAATATGTCCCAATGTCTGAAAGGCAACTTTTATACCACAATTACTCAGGATCCTTCTGATTGGTTCTGCAATTCCCTGAATGTATGGAACTATAGCAAAACCTGTTTTTGAGGAATCACCCTCTGAGGAATTGCATTTAGTCGAGACAGGGGATTTTAGACAATCATTTAAAAAGTTTCGTGGATAATTGTTCTATGTGGTGATTGCGAGAAAGAATATCTAGGTCAAACAAAACGCCAGTTCGGCACATGTTTAAAAGAACATCAAAAGGCCGTCTCGAACTTAGACAAAATCAGCCTTGGTGGAACACGTGTGTCAAACTAACCATAACATTGGGTGGATGGAACGATCCAAAAGTCATTACCACTAATGATCGTTATGGACAAAGGCGTTGTTTGGAAGCCTGGCATATTAATGCGAGTCTTTGTGCCCTTAATAGGGATGACGGAAGCTATTTGCCAAAAGATTATTTACATCTGATTGACAGATGATCCTCCATAGACTCAATTACTCCTGATTAGCCTAATGAATTTAGTCCTCTTGAGTTTGATACCATAAACAGAAAATTATAAAAGTGGCTGCAGATTGACGATACACTGCTCAGTCAATGCATGTGTATATTTATTTCTCTTATAACTATAACAATGGTTATAAAAATACCAGTCAACAACATATTAAGGATAACAATGCAGACTCATAACAATGTGTATAATTTGTTTAATACAAGTTTTAATGTTCCAGCAAGTTGCATGACAATCAATAAGCTCTAGCCTGCTTTATTTCATAGCATCTTCATCCTGAAAAATATAAATGGAGATCTGATCAAGATTTATTCACAAGGTGCAGGAAGTTAAAAAATCAATTAATTATAAGCCATGATAATTGATAAATTGATTTGAATTTGACAAAGCAAACAAGATAATATATTAAGGTGGCTCGATACAGTTTTCAAAAAATCCACTGTTCATCACTTTGACACGTTCAAACAACGCATTTTTATTATTTATTCCAGAGATATTAGGGTTTTTATATATTTTAATGTTTCTACTTTTGAATCGTATTAGTTTTAGTATCAAATTGTCCGTTGCTATGGCGACATACGTGTACAAAATTCACTCAAAAATGACCAATTGCTTCGGATAGTTGGAAAAGAAGCACGGAGACCCCCAATTTCTTTTCGTGCATTATTTTACTTGGAAGAAAAACTAACAATCAGCAAAATATAAAAAAATTCTATAATGCCACATTTTTGAAAAATGGAAAAATGACATTTTCTTCGATAATTTTTTTTTGCTATTGTAGATTTTTTTTCTATTTTGCTAATTTTTAGTTTTTCTTCCAAGTAAAATAATGCACTAAAAAAATTGGGGGTCACCGTGCTTCTTTTCCAAGTATCGGAGGCAATTGGTCATTTTGGAGTAAATTTTGTACACGTATTTCGCCATAGCAACGGACAATTTGTTACTAAAACTATTACGATTCAAAAGTAGAAACATTAGAATATATAAAAAACCCTAATATCTCTAGAATAAATTGTAAAAATGCGTTGTTTGAACGTGTCAAAGTGATGAACAGTGGAATTTTTGAAAACCGTATCGAGCCACCTTAACTAGGTTTTAACAGTCACCATCATCAGAGGTTGAAATTTACACTGTTTGCAGCAAAAATCTTATTACTTTGTATGAGCACCCACTTAGCACTTTTGTCAGTCAGATCATGTTAATCAATGCTTGAATCTAGTAGACTCACTGGGGGGAAGGTTTACCTATTTACATTATTGTTTGCTATCATGAAAACAAAATAGACCAAACTCAAAGATTGACATTGCCAGGAATTTAATTCCTCCCCCACACAAGTCAAGAAAAATGTTTGCCAACGTTTGAGTATATAACATTGCACATGTAGCAAAGGTCTAAAATAGTATATTTGCTGTTTGTACCATAAGTTTTGATGGATTTATATGGCTCAGAACCTTTGGTAATCAGTTTATATTCGAGTCCAAAAGCAAAAAACTGAAATTGTTATAAAAGCCGGCTTACCTGGATGCTATAAAATAACAACCGAATGAGAGGCGTCAGCAAAGCTCAAAATCCGCCATCTTTTTGCGGACACGATTGCGGTGCCCGCGCCAAGTTTGGCACCGCATTATATTCTGCCTGTGAGTTTGTTTGTTCGCATCAATACGTTTCCTTAATCGCCAAGTAAAAATTCCTTGCACATACTTGGAATGCTTGGAATTTTTTCCTAATTATTACTATTAATCTTGTTGTACGTTTGGCAAATTCCTTTTTTAAAGGAACGTTCTTTTTTCAATTTCAATCTCAAACTCTGATAATTGCGTGTATCTCTGCTTTTATGCACCCAAGAAGGACAAAAATACCACCATTCGATTCAGCGTAAGAAATTATACTTACAGGTCTTAAATATATTACTAAACAAGAGTATTCGCAGCGATTTATGACGTTTGAAAGACAAACGAAATTGAATTGTTGACAAATCGCTCAAAATTACTATGCTATACTTTACTAGTAATAGTAAGTTTGGTCTTTGACATCTTTCATATCGTTGGTTTTCTCTTTTAATTTTCGTCCTTAAATAAGTGGATCGGTCTTACATTGCGATTTATTTTATAGTACTTTGAGCCAAATATATTCTATTTCGAAGGTTTTAAAGTATAGTTTCAATAAGCGAACTTTATGACAAATCGCTCAAAATTATTAAACAAATTAAAAATGCAGTACGCTTAATCCTTGACTTCTGTATCGTTGCTTTTCTAGTTTCCGGCTCTACGCCAGTTTATTCGTCTCACGTTTCTCTTCATTTTGATAGTATTCTTAGATAGTATTTTTAGCCTAAATATTTTATTTCTGAAGATTTTAAAACGGCGCAATTTTGACCTTAATGTACCAACCAACCAGGCTGCGGCCGACAGGAGAATGTAAGTTGGTGATGTCGTTAGAAATGAGCGGACGTTTTATTTCTAGACAAGCATTGCGGGCACCGCATTTTAGTACTGTGTCTGGTTTCGCCTGTGATTTCGCCTGTGACTTGACCTGTGGTTTCGCCTGTGATTTGGCCGGGAGGCGGCAGCAAGTCCTCCAGGAATTTTAATATAGCTCAGTGGGCGGTAGTCCCTAGAACCTGCCAAGCGGGTAAGAAACACCAAGCCGCCTGCGTCTACCGAATGAATGAATGACAAAAGTCGAGGCATCGACTCAATATACGTGCCCAAACCCCCAACTCGCGCGGCCGTATGTGCTTCCACAGGCTGTTGTCAAAAAAAGCACAAAATTTGCATTATAGAGAAAGCAAAATTCACAACACTGAAACAAAAGAGAAAACCTATCACAAAAGTTAAAGCATAGAAACAAACAAGGACGATAAGCTTTATCCCTTATTAACCAAAGGAGAACTCACGAAAACCATAATTTTAGAAAGCTAAAGAGTTTAACATTCTTATCATCAATACGAACAGGTTATTTAACTCTTTTTTTCCTAATTATGCAAAAAACGCTAACTTTAAAAACCTTAGTTTAATATTAAGATATTATTAATATATTATTACTTTATAGTATTAGTATATCTTATAGTAATACTTGTTGTAAATATAGTAATTTCCTTAAATTCCCAGTATATTTTGCCTTATATCAATGATTTTAATTTCTATTGTAATTCAGTCTTAGGACTGTAAAATTTGATCTATTAAACGAACAAACAACAACAATAATTATAGCATTCGGTTTCTACTTGATATGAGGAATTATGAAGCCGAAGTTAAAAAACCTTTTTACCGAGACCTCAAAAAATTATGTTTTGTAGACCCTTGACCGTCGATACTTTACTCCGCTTTGTCTCTACCAAAGTCGGATCCACAAAACATAATGGATGTTTCCTTCGGTCGCGGTAAATAAGTTTTACCTAAATATATTTTACTGAGTGATGGGAGTGGAAATTTTACATTCTCTCTCAAGTACTTGGTTCCAAAGTAACCGGTCTTGCTATAGGATAACTTTTTGATTTGATACGTGATAATTGTGAAACATATGTCCTGTTCATCAAAAAATTTTATTTTCACTTATTTTCTTAGATATATGCCGCGGCGGACGCACAACTAGGAACGATGACACTCGCAAAAGAGCGATTGATATGCGAGATGATGACATAGACGATCAAGATATTATTCCGCTGTACAACCCGCCTAAGCGTAATCTCATAGTTCCCTCGTGGCCGACACCCAGCGGCTTGACAAAGAAGAACGTAACATCGTTATGCAACAAAAGAATAAGATATTCGAAAGCCGGAGAAAGCTGTAGTAATGTAAATGGTGTTAATTTGGATAGCCTTGTTAATCAGTGCATTACTGATATCCAGGTATGTAAAAGACCCATCTAAATTCAAATTTGAATCACTAATATGTTACCTTTAGTGGTCCCTGTATTCGTCATTTTATTGGAAATATTTAGCAGACTCTATTGGTTGAGGTTCATTGGCCTATTTTTTCAAACAATAAGATCATGTAAAATATTTTTAAAAAAGGAATAAAGGGACCATTGCCATCCCGCATCGTACGAAAAGTTTTTGATCAAAAACTGTAAAAATATTGCCGTATTTTGCCATGTTAGAAGCTGTTTTAACCTAAACTCGTTTGCAAGGAGTTAACAAAATTATCAGAGATTAGCTTATTGGGTTTAGTCAATATATTTTAGGTATTTTTACATAGTCTAAGAGGTACATTTCTTAACGTAAAAAAAATTATTAACCTTATGTATTTAGATGTAATTATATATTATACACTTAATGTATGCTCCCGAGGGAAATAGTGAGTTTTGTTTTCCCAAGAGTCTGAATGTTTCCCGAGACGAAGTCGAGGGAAACATTCAGACTCGAGGAAAAACAAAACTCACTATTTCCCGAGGGAACGTACATTAAGTGCTTTGTTATATAGGAACAAAAGCATACATGTTACACAACAATTTTATATTATAAACACTTTACCATCAACAATTAAGCCTATGTGACCCGACTTTATAATGTAACAAACAAGCGTTCTCAAAACCTTCGCATGCAGCCAACGATTAAATTAAATTACAAACAATATTTTCGCTTTGAAATGTCATTTTTTGTAGAAGTTAATGGTCACATTTGCTCCGGCAAAAGCCCCAGAATTAAAATTGACCGTTTCTTGGCTGTGGGAGGCAAAATTCTGAGTCAATATAGGTGACTGTGAGCTGTTTGTAGTTTGCTTACAAACAATTTCTTCTGCTTCGTTTCGAGCTTCGTTTACAAGTACAATTTCACTTGAAGTACTAGCTTCTGTAAAGCAAGCGCTACTGAGCGAATGTGAAATTTGTTTTTGTTTCATCTCTGAGAGTCGTCTTGAATACGAGCGAATGCTACTCTCAGACTTATGCCCAGAGACACGCATAATATGACGAGCTTCAAAACAGTCGTCAAGTAAAGAGACAGCTGTCGCCCTAATACAATGATTAGTATATGTTTGTGAAAGTTCCAAATCCTTGGAAATCCGGCTCATTAAAGTTCCTAAAGTGTTTTTACCGACAGAACATTACAGTACCAAACATCGGAGGCTTCAGTAAAATGTTCCTTCGATTTAGGCTTCTGCCATAAACAAAACAGTTCAGGGTGTAGCTTTGCTAAATACAGTTCAAATGCCTTCACTGGACACAATGGGCCGTCTTGTTCGTACATACGACCTTCGCCAGTGGAATCGTCGGCGTTGTCATGGCCTCTGTGGTTTTTGTCTAGCTCGTCTGTCGCCTGATAAACAAACTTTTTTCCTGTCGCGTCAGTCTTTATGGCGAACGACTGCTTCGTGAAAAGTCGAAGGTTTTCTCTTCCTCTACGTATTAGATGAAACATGATGTTGAACCAAACAAATCTTTGAAGACTTTTCGGGTCTGGCACAGCAGGATTAAAGGACAACTGTATTTTTTGGAGATCCTCGCGCGAAATGGAGTTGTGATGTTCGACATTGCCAAAACCTTGCCGTTTCAGTTCAACAATTGCTGCTTCATAAACTTGATTTGATTTAGCAAATTCTTGATCACTAATGATGTTGATATTCCTTTTAAGTAGAAAATGCCTCTGAAGACCAAACCTCAAACCCATAAGAGCAGATTTTTTGTAGTTTTCGCCATTCTTTTTCCTGGCATTTGGGTAAAAAGCAGCTAAAAGCTTGTCGAGTTCTTCTTTCGACAGTCCTTCAATGTAATCAAGGTCTCTCGGTGGAGATTCGTCCGAAGAAATTTCGTTGCAAAATGCTATAAAGGTGGCCACAGCATTTTTTGTTGACTTCCGAGTGTTTTCTGAATCCTTTTTTTCTATTAAAAGTTGAATTTCATCGCTTGACAAGTTTGAGAAACGTTGTTTTTTTGTTTTCGGCTCCATAACTGTTTTATTTGCTATGAAGCGGGCAACAATTTTTCACTTGTTTCCCTGGCGGGAAACATTGCATTTATTTAAAGTCATGTGACCACGAATGAACCAATCACAATCAAAATATACAACACCTATATAACAATATTAATTATATGCACAATGTTGACATGCACAATTCGCTAAAAAAATTCTCGCATTCAAATTATCACGCATATTTAGGCTGCCTATGCTTCTATATGCAAAATTTCGCCCACAAAATGCAGAAAGATGCATCTGCTCTGCATGCATCATTATAGGTTGAACAGCTTGCAAATACAATCTTTATTATTTTTACATAGTTTACTGACGATCCATCATGGGCTGTTGCAAATGCTGGAGCTTTAAACACCGTGTGCAAGAAAAATGTTTATAAAAACATATCCTACTATAAGAACAGCACAGATGGCATCTTGAAACTAGAGACTAATATTCTAGATTCACTTTGTCCAAATGATTGCTCGGACCGTGGAAATTGTTCGAACTCAACATGCACTTGTTTTGAAGACTACACAGCTGCTGATTGCTCAATATCATTGAAAGATAGCCCCAAACTATATGGCATACGTAAATCGGGATTATGTGATGTAAGAAGAAGGCCGTGTCGCAATGTTGGTATTTATGCTTTTCCATTGTTGGATTCTGCGAATCTTACCTGCCACGTTCAAGAAATTAAGGTAGGATAGTTATGACGTCAGTGTACTAGATAATAAGTCATAATTATATAAGATGAGCATCTAAAATATGCGTTTTCCCCTAAACCTAAAGTTTACTTCTTCATAATTTGCTAGGCCCCAAGAGAAAAAATGCACGAATTGCACTCCCGGCCCAAAAGTTTTTTTGCCATTTGGATTTTGATAGCCGCGCCATTATTTTTTGTACTACGCTGCACAAATAGCAAAAAACTGCTATGTCTGAGAGAAATGATCGAGAATTTATGTTTTATTCATTTACATGTATAACATTTTGCGTGCTTTTACAATAAACGTTTACGGTAATTACATCACATTTTATCGTTATAAATTTAGAATCATGCACATTAGGGGCTGTTTACATGAGCCCGGTTACCCGAGATTCAACGAAGCGTGAGAGGACTTTGAGGTATTGAAATAAGTCTTTATGACACCAAACAAGCACGGTCGGCGTTAGGTCATATCGAACTAACGTACATGACGTCATAAAATTTTCAATAACCCTAACCCTAACCGTAATTAAGGTAAAGCCAGAGATACTGTTACATTAGTGTATGATCACTCCTATACTGGGTATGAGGGTAACGACATTTACACTTTCGTGTACATTTATAAATGTATAAATGTATCATCATTCATCGCCATTTTTATTTTATCATTTTTATGGACCAGCTCTGAAAAGACTTCATGTAAGACTTCTGTTATTATACTTCAGTTATTGCAAAATTTATGACGTCATGTACGTTAGTTCGATATGATCTAACGCCGACCAACAAGCACATGCTATTATTGTGGTGATTATACGACTGCCGAGATCATGTTATCTGCTCATTTCAATACCTCAAAATCATCTCACGCTTCGTTTAATCTCGGGTAACCGGGCTCATGTAAACAACCCCTTAGACTGTCCAGAAATAACCTAACAAAAACCGCGGTTAACCTATTTCGGGCCGAGGTCGAACCGCGGTAAGACCGAAGTTGAACCTCGGTCGTTTTCGATTTGATTATTGTGTTATCGTTCTCAGCGGTTCGTATAATTCCGTTCGGAAGCGAACGGCAACCGCGATTGAATTTTTCCCTTGCGGTCTTTTGCGGTTTCTATCGGTCGACCGCAATCAAATCGTAACTGCAGTGTTAGGTTATTTTTGGACAGCATTGTATGTGCTTCAAGGCATGCATGAAAAAGATTTTGAAATCAGTTTTACAGATAAATGCCTGACCTAGAGCCTCGTTCTAGTGCTATGGCTTATTTCCACAATTTATTTGAAAATAAAGTGTGGAAATAAGCCATATAGTGAAAATAAAAAAAAATTTCTCGTGCATGTGGGAAAAAGGATGTCAGTTTTGCAGCTTCGCACATGGCTTGTCGAAGTAAAGCTTGAAATTCATCTCATTTAACGTGGTTAATCATTTAAAATTGAAAGCAATAATCAAAAGGCTTTGTCAGGGCATTAGATATCATCTTCAAGGTTTTGTAAGGAATGAACAGGGTTATTCGTTTTATGACAGCTATTTAGCTTTCTTACATATCTTTTCAATGTGTTTACCCCTACTCATTATTTCATCAAAGAGTACTCCTAGGCACCGGGGAATTGATTTTCCAGTTTAGTACAAAGCGAAAATCACATATCTTGTTTTTAACTTTACTTCAGTCTTGGCAGGATGTTCTAGTTTATTATTTGCGAGGCATATATCATCATTTAATATATAAACAATTTCAGTGTAATCACCATGCAAAACAAATATCTGGGTATCATCGGCATAAAGATAGGAAGTTGTAATGCATAAGCTCTCTGATAAGTTGTTTATACGATAAAGTCCATTTCGAACGATAAAAAATTCTTCCAATTAATGTTCAAAAATTTCACCCTGAATTAATATGGGAGTAATTTAGCTCTCTATATTATTAATAATGTAATTGTTGTTGCCATAGGTTATTGAATCAGTATGGGACCCAGATAGTTCTATCACGTTGTTTCCTGGATTGATGATGGATATAACTGAAGTTAAATGTTTTCTTCCCGAATCACCTGTAAATATCGGTGACTATGGTAACGAAGGAGTGGCAGCCGCTGGAATAAAAATTGCAGTATCTAATAATCGGATAAACGCATCAAAAGAGTCCTTGTTGTTCATTACTTATGATTCCGTATGCCAAGAATGCAATGTTTCCACAGGATGTCAACTTAAGGTAAAGCACTTTTTGTATATTACAAAAAATCTGCGACATGATATTCTAATTTTAATTTTACCCACCACGATACATACCTTTACTTTAAAGTTACAGCGTTTACTATAAAAGTACCCAGATAACGCCTACCTTATGTAATGATATATTATTACACCATGTTGACAAATTGCTGAAACATTTCTAGCGTCGTCATCAAATCATCGCATGTATTTGAATGCCTTTCATCTGCAAAATTTGACCGAGAAAATGCAGGAAAACTCATCTGCGGCACTCATTATATAAGTTGACCAGCCTGCAAATAAAACCTTAATTAATTTTTATACGGCTTACTGACAATACATCGTGGGCTCTTGCAAATGCTGGAGCTTTAAACACGATGTGCAAGAAAAATGTGTATATGAACATATCCTAGAACGCGGACGTGAGATGAAAATTGCTACTAGTATGAGGAAACCAGTAATAATTAGTTTTACACACGTCTCGGACTTTTTTTTTTAAAAAGAGTCTATAATTTCCATAGTTGTTGGAAAACTGTGGTAATTAGAGCAGTATTACTTCACGTCCGTGTCGTAGATTTGGTGCATCTTAAACTTACCAATGTTTCCCTAATCAATCATGAGTATTTTTTCTCAATTAACACCTTCGTCCCATCATTTACGCGATTGGATGGTTAGGTGTTGGCTCGTCGCTCGCCGGAGGGGTTGCTTGGAACGAGTACTGTTACTTGGAGCCAGGTTAAGATCCCTACGGTATCTTAAGCTGAACACGCAAAAGTGATGTGAAACATTACCCCTCCAAGTAAGCACCCCTGACTGAGCCCTCTTAAGGGGCGAGCCTACAAGAACGGTGACCTCTATCACGATTGTGCCGACTATAAAGCGGACGTTGTTACCAGCCGACATGGTAGCACAACGTTAAACCAAAGACGCTGCACCTTCTCAACAAACTGCATTGTTGGACGTTGTTCGCAGCTTCTATGGAAGCACAACGAGACCGAACCAACCTTGGCGCCGAATCCCCTCGCCACATTCTGTGTTGAGAACACGCCTCGTCGACAAGAGCCAGGACATTGTTACCAGCTGAGATGGTAGCACAACGTGTATAAACACGGTAGCGCACCTGTGGGGTTAAATTCCTTCCCTCGCGACTAGATGGTAAAGCAGCAATTGTACGACTCGTGCGAAGACGTTGTTGTCAGCTGGAATAGCAGCACAACGTTCATCTTCGCCCATCCCTAGGGCTGACCCTTACCGCCCGTCCCTATGATGCAACTGAACATGGATCGACAAGATGGCGGACCGGACGACCTGACACAAAGCGAGACAACCCGAGTTCTTTTATTGCGATTGACAACCAAACTTATATACACTGTTTTTTGGGGGGTTGTCTGTTTTTTTTTGGGGGGGGGGGGTTTGGGTTGCTACGGTGTCAATTACCCTCAGCGGAGTGTCGCTTGGCCACCTACCAAACCAATCCTCATAATCACATGATCCGAAACACCGAGCTGGTGTAGTCGCGGCACCAATGCGTAAGCGGTGGCCGAAAACTTACCCTCCAAACCAAAGTGCACGACAAATAGACTATAGGATCGTAGGTACCGGTCGTTGTCAATTCGCCCGAGCGCAGAAAACTGATGAACCCGGTACCACACGCCCCACAGAACAAGCCGTCCCGATAGCTGCGCAGGTCAAATAGCGAGTATATCCGACGATCGAAGAATGAGGCTGTTATCGGTAAACGCGGCCGACAGGCGAGACCTTGAGTATGTTTTACCCCGCAAAGGACCTGTCCCAACCAGAGGCAATTGGAGAGAGGATTCCCGAAGCCGTTTTCGATTAAACTCACAAAAAATCAGCGATTAAATTTTCCTTACCAGGTAAATGCAGGAAAAGCTCTCGGACTAAGTCCATGATAGTATCATCTTTGCAGGCACCAGATGTAATGATTTGCACAACACTCTCCTTGTATGCCATACCGAAATGCAGTTGTCCTGGTAATTACGCTACCGAGAACCATTCCTGTCGGTAGAACCAGCCGAAACCTGTGTTACCGCGTTCATGTTACGCGCGGTCATGTTACCGCAACCGGAATCTAGCTGAATACCCAGAAAAGTCAAGCCCGTGGTTGGCCACTTCCACTTACCAGGGGCCAGAGGCACACCGAGTGCCAGCGCGGCATCCTGAATGGCATCCGAATCGAATCTTCACAAGTCGATGTCCCTGCCGGACCCAGAGTAAAGTAATCGTCAAGGTAGTGGGGCACATTTACCACACCGTATTGGTGTTGCAAAATCCACTCAAAGAGCTCAGCTAATGGTTAAAAATCCACTCAAGAGCCCTCAGCTCCCGGGTGCGAACCGAGGGCCGAAAGGTAAAGCTAAATCAACGAAATATTTATTACGCCATCGCATTCCCAAGAAATGCTGGTCGTCAGAATTAATAGGTACAATACAGTACGCCTTCTGAATGTATAACTTATGAACCGAATAGCGTCTCGAACTGAACTATAACTGAGAGGAAAATCGGATTTTGATATGCCATCATTGACAATGTGATCTAGCGAGAACGATAAGTCTAATGAAATGTCCTAAATGTAAAGCCGATAGCTGATGTTTCAAATATTTCGGAAACAAACATAGTTGACAGTTGTAAAGGTGAAGTGAAATCACCCGTTTTCCTGCTGCTTTCCGTTGCATTAAGTTATAGACTTTCACAGTTTAGTTATACTTCATTATAGCTAAACCTTCAAATCATCAAAACAGCCCAAATAATATAAATAACCAAGCAGTGAACGTCGAATGTTGTTTTTCGATTATTAAATTCATGCAGTGATTGCAGTCGACTATATATAAACATTTAAAGTGATATTTGTTATATTAAAACTCCGAATTACACTTTTAAGGACTCTTTTGGAAGTTAAAACGATGATGTAAAGCCTTAAATAGTCGGTCACGTCTTCGCAAAACCGAGCAAAACGACATACTGTACCAAGGTCATAAAATGTATTCGTACAGCAAACACGAAATAAACCTCGAAATAAACAAAATAGACTCCTACCATTTCAAGGATTATAATCGAGTTGTTCCTTTTCACCGCTAATTCCTCCAGCAACTTTGGATTCTGCTATGTTCTCCCGGGTCCCGGGTGTAATTCCTAATCTCCGGGCGGAATTAGTACCCTCGCACGGTGCTCCGCACCGGCTCGGGGATTAAACGCCATGAGTCCGGTCTATTTTTCTTGGGAATATCTCCAAACCGACTTTCATGCAAATTAGGCAATGGTGGCACGTCGAAAGGTCCGACCACGCGATGAGCCTAAATTTCGCTCATGAGGTACTTGTCAATCACCTCGGGGTGTGCCCGTGCTGACCACCAGTTGTCCTCCGCTGAACGTAATCGTACATGCTCTGAATTAAAACCGACGTTCGGGGGATAGGTTTCGCTTTGAGGACACATGGCGCTAGTGCTCGAGCACCGGTGATAGCACTGGCAGTCTGGGAACGAACAGATGTGGCGGAAGCGCCATATCTGTTAATTGCTGTTGCAAAACCCGGCGTTCCACGAGGGACAGAGCAGCTGACCGGCGAGGCTTCCCTGGGGTTTTTCGCGAAATCTTCTTTTACCTACCGTATTAGCAGGCGTATCCTTTTTAATCAGGTACAGCTGTCATTCATTGGTCACCGCCGTATGGTAATGATACAAGTCGGGCCTAATCATACTCCAATCGTGAATGTTGCTAGCCGGCGCTTCTCGATGATACGCGTGATCGTAATAAAACCAGCCCATGCCACCGAGCCGTAACATTTAACCGTAACAACGTAACATTTTGGTTAACCGTTTTGTACTAGCGCTAATTTTCGTGCAAGGCGACATTTTACTTTTGTTTCGGAGCTCTCAACTGCAACCATCTGTAACAAATTGCACAAAATACAAAGGAGATATGAACTCGCTTCACGTGGTAAGTATCGCTAATGAAAAACCGGCTTTAGTCGGAATGAATGAAGGAACATTCAACATACCTTGACTTTGGTCGTTTCCTACCTTTGCCGCCGGACGATTATTCCGAAATTTGTTTTCCGGGTCACCGAGTTGCTCTAGTTGCTGGACCCATATCCGTATAATTTTTTTTGTTTATACAGCTAATTCAAAAAAGGTATTCCTTCAAAAACCTTAAACTCTAAGCACTCAAAGAATAATGGGAATTTGCATAAAATAATTATAAAGAGTGCCAATCAAACTTTTTAAATGCAAAACTCAAAAGGAAATACTTCAAGAAATTTCAGCAATTTTTTCTTCACGTTTTGATTGCAGTAAAACTTTTGAAATACAAAATAATTATATAGGAAATACGGTGCTTAGGGGTAACGAATTTTATCCTGATAAAGTGATATTTGCTTGACATGTCGATTTTCCTCAAATATGAAACACACTGTAGCTATTAACTCTCTCAATTTACATGTTTTGAAGAGGAAGCTGTTCGTACCTAATTCGTCTAGTAAGCGTCCATGACTGGGAATTTTGAATATGATGCAATTAATAACGGGGAATTTCGTTTTAGGCCAATCAGCAAGTTTGTTTACATTTTCAAGAACCCAACTAGAATGCATAAATTTTGATAAAAGATGCAATATATATCATTTTACATGAAGTATTGAAAATTTAGGCACTCTGGTAAATTGAACTTGCAAAGGGTACTTGCATACTTTATTTATTTCGTATTTGAAAAGCGGGAAGGATGAGCTGTATTTGCATAATTTTCATTTTTGTATGCCGCTTATTTTTTAATTTTTAGCTTTGTATAATTTTCGGCTTTTTATACAAACGCATAAACCTGTGAAAGGGTATTACACCTTTGTTTTAACGTCAAAAAGTGTTTTTGAAAGTGTAATTTGAATTTTGATATAGAAAATACACACTATATTAAAGTATATAAAACTTTTAGCCGTCGACGGCATAACAGAATAAAATAACATTTGGACCGGGTTTTTTCTTTGTCTCTGAAGATTTTGTACTGTTTTAATCGTTTGAAACTTCGATTTTAAACCATTACTTAATTTCTGCCATCAGTGCTATGTTATAATGAAGCAAAACTGGACGGGTAATGTTTACACCAGCTTTATGATTTTTTTTGTATGGAAAATACTTTGTAAAATATAATAAGACTGATTTGAGTTTTGTGCCATTTCATAATATAAGTTTAGGTCAGGTTAGCAGGAAATTGTTTACTTGGTTTGAAATAGCGAGGGGTTGCTGCATGCATGTATTTCTAGTTTAGCTTTCTAAATGACATCTTTTATAATTCGAATGATTTCAGAATAGAATGATATCGATCAAAATCAAACTTGCCCAGTTGAATGGAAACCACGGAAATTGGAGTTTGTTATGAGCCTAACGATAGTAAATGATAATCTTCATTCAATTTCCAACCGGTGAATGGAAATAGAATTGCTTTTCACAGGGAATTTTTGAACACGATTATTAAGTTATTTCTTAAGTTAAATCATGGTTAAATGACATAGAATAAATATTTAGCCGGAAAGCTAAATATACATTAATTTATTTAGCTGTGTAAAGATGAACTCGCTAGTCATGACGTATAGCGCGTATTTAATTTACTACATAATTATTAAAAGGCTGTCGATTGTGCATGTAAATGAACGCTATATCTTCAGCATGTGTAAAACAATCTTTGAACTGAGAATTTAGAAAGCTCATTCGCGTAATATAGTGATTTTCTGTCAGTATGTATTTCCAAATACAAGTTCCCTGGTTTAAAGTTTTGCTAGAAAATTGTAAAACCTGGCACTAAGTATAGAGTTGTATTTCAATAATATTAATTTATTGCGAAACCATCAACTTACAACCAAATTAATTACAGTGAGATCTAAATTACTTATACTAGACAATATTATAACAATAATTTTTTTTAACTAAAAGGCTGATGCTTGTTCAATTTCTGGTCATTGTTTCGCCAAAAATGACAGCCATCCTGACGACTGGTGTCGACAATGTTTGCCTAACATTTCAATTTCGTCATGGGAAAACCGAACAGGTAGGCCTAAAAACATAAAAATGCATTAATGTGATCCTGTAATTTCAATAAAGGAAAGTCGTTATTTGAGTTATTTAGAAGGAAGAGACAAATTATACCGAACAAGACGCCTGTTCTGGCGTTAACTCCGGCGCACGTGCCAGTCTTCAATATAGAGCTTCTGAACATAAACAATACAGTTCATATTCGCATTTAGATGCCTTGCGAACCTAAATGTTCGATCGCGAAATTCAGAAGCACATCGTACTTTAAAAAGTATAGAAGTTAAATCGTTCAAGAATGTAAATAAACGGTATGATACATTCGCTTTGTCTTACACTTTGCCTTTGGAATTCGCGCTTATATAGTTATATTAAATCTTCAATCCTGTGCAAACTACGACGAGTCAAAGCGCCCATACACGACCACATCATCTTGTTAAACGGCGAAATAGCAGCGATATTACTAAAATAGGACCAGAATCTACACGTATTAAATATATTCTTACCCCAATTCAGTCTAAACTTAATCGAAAAGCATGAAAAGAACGGTTTATTTGTTCCTCTTGGAGGAATTGCCGTATCATGCGAGCGAAATCGAATCGCGCATCGGAAAATTAGCCAAAGCTGTGCACCACAACTCTTGGGAGACAAGACTGGGACATAGATAAATCCAATCACATACACATTTTAAATACTAGAATGTTTCGCGCCATTACAGACTTGCGACGACGAAAAATAATAAAAAAAAAAATAATAAAAAAAAAAACAAAAACAAAACAAAACCGAGGCGAATTTTCAACTCCGTCGCTGACGCCGGAGTAATAAATCGATTCATAAGCCCCGTTTAATTACACTACACTCAATTTATTGGCATGGCACAGCTAAAATTCGTACCGTACTAATTTTATTAGTGTTCAGGCTACCAAAACAAAGGCCGAACAAAAATAAAATAAGCACGGGTACCCATTTTAGCCGTACCGTGCACATAAATCGAGTGCAGTGTAAACGGGCTGATAGTTACTCATGAAATTACATGCCAGAGGAACAATGGAGGTCAATATGACCGGCGTTTTACGTTGTATATTATTTTTGCAAACATTGTATTTTAGAAAACCACTCTAAAATAACTTAGCATTTAATGTAGTATAAGAAATAGACAAAATAGACAAAAATACTTCTCGACGTATGGAACTGAGGGCCTTCGTCACAAGAGTTAATTGGAAAATAAACAAGGGAGGACACATGTTTTGTATGGGGGCAAAACAGGTAATAAAATTGGGCTAATAGAAAATTACAAATCCAAACAAATTGGAAAACATTATGTTGTCAAAGGGACGCCTGATTGTGGGGTAAGAATAGCGCGCAATGAGGGACGCCTGATCAGCAACGAAAATACAGGGTGTATCAAAAAAAACGCAACCACTTAATATTCATGAATATACTCTTTGTTCTACAACACAAAAGACGTTTGGCCCCTGGAATGCGAGAAAGCTTGTAATCATATTCTAGCGGCACAATCGTCGGTAAACAAAGTCGGGTGCGTAAACCAACGAGCTGAATTGAAAGTGTTTAACGGGTAGAATTGCAATTTATTTTACTAGGTCGACAGTAATAGCATTCAAGTTATCATGCACGACAATAAAAACTCGTTGTTCGGTTGTTAGCTGCACCATTATTAGTTTAGCTGATTTGACTATTAGCAGTTGAACTATACGATTAGAAGCCATTTTAAAATCCCAGGGGCATAATATATTTAGAATATTTTTTTTTTGTTAAGTTTTTTTTTGAGACACCCTGTACATTACAACATGGTTTGGTGTAAACAAAGAAATGGGAATCATATTACTCTGGGCAAGTAGCTTAAATGAAAGAGAGTCTTTTATTTATGCCAGAGGGATGAAGAGTGCCAATCCAAGACTGTGGATGAGTCGCATTTCTTGTCGTTTATGGCTATTCTTAGAGCCTGAAATGCATGGACCACGAAGCCTGTTTAAAAATGGGGGGCTCGGGATAGCCTGAGAACATACCCTACGTGGGATGTAGCTAGCTATTAGGTGGGAATGGTAATTTTTCATGTTTGCCTATGAGAAAAGTGGGGGGTCCTGCCCCCCTTCCTGTTCCGTGGCCGCTGAAATGGGACAGACGGCTCTACATAATAATAATTTCCAAGACACAATGATTACCAGAGGTAAGGTGCCTGGCAACAAGGCTTGGTGTTATCGTGGTTGTTGACCGACCTACGGTGCTAACCTTACCCTAAAAGATCTTCCAGTTTCACCGATATATAGTAAATCACATTTGTTGCATGAGATGCAATAAATGAGCTTGGAAGAGAGACATGTGAAATGGTACCTCATGAAAAACTTTGAAAAACTGGGAGCCGAAATAAAAGTTCCTGGATCAGTAAATGAGCATGTTTTACATTGGCTAATGCCAGAGAGGAATGTGCCATTAGGCTCTGAACAGTTTTGCTGTAGAGAAGTGTGATGATGTGTTGGAACTAAGGGAGCCTAGAATAAATGCTGGGGGTGCTGGAGACAGGGTCTCTAAGAGTTTCTAAGCGACAAATGTAGTAGGCCTTAGATAAGGCAGTGTCAATAAGAGAGGAGGGATAGCCGCGCCACAAAGAATGTTCTCATATCCAGACATTTGGACTGGAAGTCATCATCTTCACTGAAAAGGCAGCGAAGACGAAGGAAATGCGAGAAAGGGATAGACCTCTTAGTATGGCTGGGGTGGAAGGAAAAATATAAGAGGTAGCTATGGGAGTCAGTGGGCTTGTTTAACATCGAGGTAGCGACCCTATTGCTATTGATGGAACCAGGATACCTAAGAACAACACACTGGTTGCAATGATCTCCCACGTGAATTGGAGTGCTGGATGAAATTCCTCAACAAATTTAATGATTCTCTCCAACACAGCACGAGAAAACGATGCTGTACCAGGTCAGTCATCAATGTACCTTCCCAGGTAATCGGGTGGAGGGCATGTGTACTGTTCATAGATTTGTTTTTCCACAAAACCAACAAACAAATTAGCTTAATTCGGACCTATTTTAGTTCCCATTGCTACACCACTTATCTGTTGGTAATGCTCAGTTGTCGACGGTTCCTGAGTAAGGCGTTTTTGTCTAAAAGAATTTGAGGGCCTTCAAACCATCCTGGTGGGGGATGACAGTGTACAAGGATTTGACATCCATTGTGAAAATGAATTTGTGGGATGATTGAAAATGGGATCCAATTTTCTTTCGGCTTGCCCTGTTGTTTTACAGCAGGAAATAATGCAATTCATTCGGTCGTTGAATTCTAGGTTTTATTCCCGGCGAATAAAGCGTCGAAAGTCGAAACTCAACTCTTTGTTACGCTCCCGTCCCTTTTCGACTACTAATCACACTAGTCCTGATGATCTCACCAATTTGGTTGTCAGGATTCCTTCCGATTTTTCCCTCTCTGATTCTGAGAGATCCATGTCCTTGCCAAATGTGTCAAATTTGTTTCTCCTCGGTTCTCATGTGTTTTATCTAGTAATCTTAAAAAAATCCTCCTGGTTTCCCCCACAAGCTGCCTTTGGGCCCCTAGTTCTTCTCATTAGACAATGATCGACATGAAATAGATCAACTTCCTAAATTTAGGCCCATAGGGCCATTTTTTGAGGCTCTCAAGTCTCTTCGTGGTCGCACCGACATTGCCATCAAATCTGCTGAAAAGGGGGATGAATCAACGTCGAGAAGTGTTTCTGTCTATTTTAGACAATTGTTATACTACATTTGATGCTAAGGAGTGCGGCTATTTTAAAGCACATCTTGGCCTACTGTTCAACACACTATAGTGTGTTACTCGAAAATGATTAATTATCAAAATAATAATATTTTTAAAACATATACAGGTGTTTTCAGTATTTACTGATTGAATTGTGCAGATTTCAAAATATTTTATTGTCATAAATTTTTCTGATTTTTTAGGCTGGCAGCTAGGTGTGCTATTTAGAACAACCTTAAGGGGTGTTGTTGGCTTACCATAATTAAGAATCAAATGTTCCTCAACATGTTGCTGTTTTTTAAATTGCAACCAGAAACGAATTTAAGGCGCCTATTGATAACTGCCTGTCAAAAATTGTCTGACCCATGCCTAAGGTCATCATTGTAATGTCCCTAATTGTCCGAAATGGCGGACAAGTTATTCCTTTCAAATGGAAAAATTACAAGAACCAAGCAAACTATTCAGAATTTGTCACCTAAATTTTAGAAGTATCTCTGCTATATTAGGAGCGTTGTTTGAAAAAAGAAAAAAAAATCAATTTCTCTTTTTTAAAGTAAAGAGCGAAAAGTACAGTTAACTAAAAATAAGGAGGTCTGTTTGATGAAAATCTTCTGAATATACATATACTGCAATACGCAATTTAAACATAAAAGGAAATTTAGAAACTTTCAAAATACTTTATATTTAAACGGTTATAATGCGCCTTGAGCTTTATGTATTGAGAATTTGAGTAAAATTTGTATAATTTCCTTTTAGACAACAAAAGTCCAAAGTTTAATATTTCAAAAACCTTTTACGCTTTTCTTGGTAAAGAACTCCGCGTACAACTCGATGCTATAGATCCAGAGAATAGAACAATCCGTTATTCTTTTACCTTGCAAAATACTTCACTTGGCGCATCGTTGACAGAAAATGGATTTTTTTCGTGGACCACCAAAACGAACGTCTCAGAAGTATTTATGTTCAAAGTAACAGATGAATGTGGTGCGTACTCATCTGTTAATGCATCAGTTGCTATAAAAGATTGTCCTTGCAAAAACAAAGGAGAGTGTTTTCCTGACTATCGTTATCTTGATGGAGCAGGAAACTTCACGTGTTCATGCCCTGTTGAATACACTGGTGTGCTGTGCGAGAATGATGTCAATGAATGCAGTGTTTCTGAACCTTGCTTCAATGGAACTTGCAACAATGAAATACCCGGGTTCTCCTGTTCCTGCTTTGCTGGGTATACTGGTCATTTTTGTCAAGCTGAGGTTGTAATTTTTATTTTTAAACATAATTTTATTTTTAAACTTAACTTCAGACTACTTGAATTATTATGATCGGCCATGACCACAGAAATGAATCTGTATAACTACCTGTTTTCCACTTCAAAATACATTATAATGACATTCTGATTAGCTAAAATCGGACTGATCAAGTCATGTACGTGGACGTGGTGTTAATGATTTTGTCTTTGTAGTCAATTCCAGTCACTTCAGTCATTAGCTTATGAATTATACAACACAACGTTACACGGTAAAATTAAATGTGGCCTCGCTGTTCACCCCTTTTACAAAAGTATTTACGAAAGATAGGGCTCAAAACGTGAAGGTTTTTCGCCGGCAGAATTAACGGGGTTTTTTTCTTGTGGCGTTCGGGCGTGTACACGAGTCTACTCGGTCTATTGTCACAGAATAGCCATATTATATATTGTGTATAATTATTGTCTACTCTGTGCTATTAGGACAATCCACTATAATGTCTATTCTGTGCTATTATTATTATAATTAAGGTTGGTAAGAATTAATAATAAAATATACTGCAACGTTTGCTAAGCCCTGAATATCTTGTAAATCACAAATAATCACATAGTTTGACTACATTCTCCGCACGTTTTAATTTCAAACATTAATTTTAAGGGTTATTTTAGCATGCTAGCCATAGCCTCTATCGGTTCAAACTTTTATTATCAACTCTTCATGCACAATTGTGAAATAATTTTGCCACTCAGCGCAATCTGCTTCTTGCACGAATACCGCCCTATTGTTTGATCTTTGCATTTTGAAGCCTGATAAATAATTATTTTTTCCACGTTTTTATTATTTTTAAGATCGACGAATGTGCCTATCAACCTTGTTTTCCTGGAATTCTTTGTACAGATTTAATTGACTCATTTAGTTGTGGACCTTGTCCGAAGGGATATACTGGTAATGGAAAAAACTGTACCAGAATTGATGGCAGTAAGTGTAATATGCCTCTTTTCATCGTGATGGATTAACCTTAACCGTACGATAGCTATGAATAAATATTTCCTTTTTTATTTTGAAAAATCATCTAGTTCAGAGCCGCGCAATATTCAGGAAATCCCTGCATGTCCCAAAAAAGGAAATCCCTGTGCAAATTTCTTCAACACAATTTCTTTAAAAGCGTTCCCGAGTGTTCCTGAGTGATGAATTGTTGTGTCTTTATTAAATCTTTTATGATAAAAACGTTGAAACAGTTGACTATACTATTTTGAAAACTATTTTGACACGATTTGAAAACAACATGCGACTGCGCATGAATTCTGGTAATTGATTAAATTATTTAATATCATATAGTTATGCATAATTTTTATATAGTTATGCATAATTTTTATATAGTTATGCATAATATGGCACGTGTCTCTTATTCTTTATGTATATTATTAATAGGTAATAGCATAGATTCTCGTGCAATTTTGAAAACCATGCCCTCGTGAGTGTTTTCAAACACTTCAAATTGCACGAGTCCAAAAAAATCACTGCTGCATGTTTTTTCAAATTTCACTCGAAACCATACGATTACCTATACAAACGATAACAAACTAGGTTTTAATGGTAGAACGACGGAATTATTTATTTAGCATTTCTAAATATTTTTAGCTTGAAGCTGAACCTTGAATAAATAAAACTTTTCCAGTATTAAACGTTTTACAGGTTTTAAATATAAAACTTCACCGAGATCTATCTAAAATACACACGTTTGTTTTATCATGGCGTTTATATAGTAACAATTTTACGATCACTGATAGGTATAGATATCGTGGGATTTTTCTCAGCACTGGTATTGTTTGACACAATTTCTTACAAATGCAGCCGTATATTCGTTAAAGTGAAATAAATGACTCATAAAGGGACTCATTAAGTGCAATTTGTCAACCGTCTAGTACCTTGAATTGCAAAAGGTATACAGTTCAAAAGATAAGTTTTCTAGTTTCCGGTTCAGACGTTTACCGATGTCAAGCGTTTCAGTTGCCTCTGTCAGGTTTTTAAAAAAAAATAACAAAGAAAATCTTTTTGGATACTTTTGTACTTTTCTTCTTGTTATGAAGACTTTTACCTTCAGTATTCTATCTATTTGTGCTCCTGATCATGAAAAGTAAGTGAAGCGAAAAGTGATTTTCTAAGCTAAATGGAAATAACCTGCGATTTTGTCAACACCAATTACAGTACTGCTCAGAAGTAACCTAATGCGGCGAACGCGTTCAAACGCGTTCCCGAACGCGTTCCGAACACGTTCCGAACGCGTTCCGAAATGCGTTCCGAACGCGTTCCAGAACGTGTTCTGAAGTCTGAACGCGTTCCCGAACGCGTTCCAGTGTTTTCACTTAGACGCTTCGTGTGCCTTCGGAAATTCCGAATAAATTATCGAACAGCCAGTCAATATGCTTAAGCTACGGTTCGTTAATTCCGCTTTTAGCTTGCAGGACAAGCGCTATTTTATTTCGCGTAAAAATAAGCGCATGTGTGACTTGTGTATCTCATTCAAAAATAATAGTAATATGTATGTAGCATCTTAAGAAATTCGGACTTGATGGCCTTAGGATGTGCTAGGCTTAACCAAAGCCAGTATTTGGCTGGGAAAACGCTGTTAAAATTAAATGACTGCTATCACCGTCTTTGATCAAAGAAACTTTCGGTAGTTAAACCATTGTTGTTAGTTTTTATTTTGTATAATATTAAACAGTGTATACAGTAGTCACGGTAATTACCGTATTTCGAATTCTATACATATCATACTGTGCCTTACATGTAAAACAAATGAGGTTCCGATATTGTGAAACGAAGGTCTGATCTCATGCAGCTAAGCTATTTTAGCTAACAATTGCATGTTTGTTCATACCTGCACTTCATTCCTTGTCGGTGACAACACAGTATTCAAACTGTATCGAAGTCCTGGAACGCGTTCTGGAACGCGATTGAAACGCGTTCTGCAACGCGTTTAGAACGCGTTCTGGAACGCGTTCGGAACGCGTGTTTGATTAGGTTATTTCTGAGCAGTATACTGTAAGATATGAAAAATTATACCTATAGGTAGGCTTTCAAGAATACGGATATACAATTAATAATTAAGGCAGTTAAAGTTGAGTTTTATTCCCCATTTCGCTGTTATCATTTAAATTTTGGGCACTAAATCTATATACATGCGAATAATGCAAACTTTGGGTAAATTTAAAAACTCGACTTTTTTCAAAAACCTTTAAAAAGCAAAAATTTGGTCGAAAATTTGAAAATAATTGCATCTTATGCACTAAACAAAAAAGAAATATAATAAATAAAAAATATTAACTGTATAAATTTGTCGTGATATAGGCTAAAGGTTTTCGCGGCATTTATCACCATTCTCTTACTGCGTACTGCGGATTATATATGTCCGTGATTTAACGACGTTTTTTTAAAACTTTCAGAAGTCGACGAATGTGTTAGGAATCCTGAGGTATGTCATAAAAATTCAAGCTGTGAGTACAATAACGGTTCTTACGCCTGTCAGTGTATACATGGTTACTCAGGAGATGGCAAGAACAATTGCACAGGTAATATACAATCACTGTTATTACAGAAAGGGTTGTGGACGGTGAGGGTCGATTGCATCACGCAGGTCGACTAGGCTAAGCAATTTCTAGGCTAAGGGGATGTTTAAATGAGCCCAGTTATACCCGAGATTCAACGAAGCGTGAGATGATTTTGCGGTATTGAAATGAGCAGATAACATGATTCTGGCAGTCGTATATATAATCACCAGAAAAATAGCATGTGCTTGTTTGGTGTCATAAAAACTTATTTCAAAGTCCTCTCACGCTTCGTTGAATCTCAGGTAACCGGGCTCATGTAAACAGCCCCTAAGCTATCTCTTTGCAAGTTGACTATAGGCAAGCTGCAACCGCGATCCTAGAGCAAGATGAGACAACTCCTTCCCGTAATCGAAATGTTAATATTTTTATAAGCAATATATTTAGCCAGCGCGCGCGTGGCACGGGCTAACTCCGCCGCGCGGGACACGAATCACACTCACTCTATTTATAAATTACCCTGTCAGGTGTCCTTTTTGAAAACTGTCCCGCGGGCAAATGTCGCATAAAATCGGACTTTTCAACTCGTCCGGGTCAACTCGCCTCATGTATAATCGGCCTCTAAATTATTGGATGATAATTTCCTTTAAATTTTGGAGAAAAAGCTGTCACTTTTCGATGCGTTATATGTGAAAGGAAAAAATGTCTGAACAATGGAATAGCATATGTAAACACTTGTGGCAATAGGCGTCATAATTATTATCCGCAATGCAGATATATAATGGAAACTAATGTACATGTGATCATTGTGATGAACTGTAAAATTCAAATGAGGTTTGTTTGTGGACGTGCGAGTTTCTTTCATAAATAAATACCAAAACTACATTATGGAGATGAGAAACGCTTGGAAATATTTCGTACATTCAGCATCCTCAGCCTGCCGAAGTGGTATTTTTTTCAACAGCTTTCAAAAAAGCATGTTAAGAATCCCCATATCTAAATGTGTTTTCTAACATATATTTGATCAATAAAGTTAAAGAGGAAAATGCTGATTATTATGTGACCTAGGCCTACAAATGTTGAAAACATTTTAATGGTTACGACATATTACGCACACGATATCCTGTGCACGGTTTAGATGTGAATGAATGCGTAAAAACTCCTGACGTATGCCACAAAAATTCTACGTGCACAAATACTAAAGGAAATTATACTTGTGAATGTATGAAGGGGTTCAATGGCGATGGTTACCATGATTGTTCTGGTGAGTTTGTCAAGAAGCCATGCATGCATGCCACTAAATGTATTACGTAACGCCGTATTGTAGGAATTTAAACTTTTGACAAAGAATAAGAAATCTATTTAGACTATAACAAATGTACATGTTTCCATGGTACCTAGCTTCAGTGTCTAAGTATAAAAGCAATGAAGTATTTCCTTTGTTTTCGGCTATGGTTGGGCCGTTGTCCGCCCGCGTTCTATACGAAAAATACGATAAGACCATGTAAATTCATGTAAAATTCGAAAACAGGCGCTATATTTAGCTCGCCTGCACTTTAGTGCAAGAGAGCTATTGCTATAGTGTTGGCGTCCGCGTCCCCGTCCCCGTCCCCGTCCCCGTCCCCGTCCCGTCCCGTCCCGTCCCCGTCCCGTCCCCGTCCCCGTCCCCGTCCCCGTCCCCGTCCCGTCCCCGTCCCGTCCCGTCCCCGTCCCCGTCCCCGTCCCGTCCCCGTCCCGTCCCCGTCCCCGTCCCCGTCCCGTCCCCCGTCCCCGTCCCCGTCCGCGTCCACACTACATGATAAGTAGAATGTTAAGATGCCACTTTTATTTTCCCATTATTTTCAACTTATCTACTTAAGTAGTCTATTTGTTGCAAAAGAACCATTTACCAGGGGGGAGTGAACATTATACAACAAAATATAATGATAAGGTCAATGTTAAAATGCTATATTTTTTCTATACTTTGGCTTTACATCAGAGGAATCATTATCAATATAAGTCATCAATATGCATTGTGACTATTTATTGCCATTTGGTACACATTTATACAATAATAAAGAGAGTTTTGCTCAAAATTATCAAATGATAAGGTGAATGTTAAGCTAATTAGCATAATGATAAGGTCAATGTTAAGATGTTATATTTTTTAAATATTATGGCTTTGTATCAGAAGATTCATCATAAATATAGCTCATCGATATGTCTTGTGACTATATGGTGACATTTAGTACACATTTACACAAAAATAATGGGAATTTTGTTCAAAATTATCAAATGATAAGGTGAATGTTAAGCTAATTAGCATAATGATAAGGTCAATGTTAACATGCTATATTTTTTAAATATTATGGCTTTACATCAGAGGAATCATCATAAATATAAGTCATCGATATGCATTGTGACTATTCAGTGCCATTTGGTACACATTTATACAATAATAAGAGAGCTTTGCTCAAAATTATCAAACGATAAGGCAAATGTTAAGCTTATTAGCATCATGATAAGGTCAATGTTAGAGTTATCCAGAGTTATCACGCTCATTACGATTTTCATGGCTATTGTGTAGCCCTGTTTTTTTTAGTTCAAAGTTGTAGCTGAATCATATTTAATGAAACTATTCAAATATTTTCACCCGTATGCTACCATTTGTTTGTATTGTACATGTACAATTATAAATTATGAGATTGTGTTGTGACATGCCGTATCAAAATTCAATCGCTTAATATAGAAATCATTCAGGGAGTGAAAATATATAAAACGTAGTCCAACGTTAAAGTTTAAAGAATATTGTCAGATAATTCGCAATTACAAGCTTTAGCACATAAGTATTTATAAGTAGAAAGCCGATAGGCTCGGAATGCAAAGGCAAATGGCAACGCATGTGACATATATTTGCATATTATTTATGTAGATACACATGCAAATATATTATTAAAGCACCTATAAGATTTATGTACATACCTTTTCGTTGTTTGATGCATAATCCTTTTTTGTGTAGATATAAAAATCCAATCTTGTTTATTTCATAAAGCTAGGCGCACACACGACGATTTTAGTCGGCCGATTCCTGTTAGATTGTCTAGATGGATGTTTTCATCAAAATGTGGCGACTGGCGATCCATACTTGGTCATAATATTAGACCATATGATTAGACCAAGTAGACTCGCGTACACGCGCGAGGCGCGAGCGCCGCGAGAAGGAAAACATGTCTGGGCAAGGGCTGCCTATATGTCTAAACCAGAATGGACCAACTACCGTAAAATCGTTGTGTGTGCGCCCGGCTTAAAGCAGGGACTTTTGCCTGGTCCGTTAACTTACCTGTTGATATCACGTGCGCGGATTGCGAGAAACGGAAGAAATATTGGTCACAAATAAAACTAATGTAATTCCGAGGCCAGTTTTGGCCAGTAATTCTGAGGTCACAACTAATATCTGAAGTTTATGCTTAATATTACCTTCCAACGCGGATTTTAGCCTTGTAATTTGTAATAAAAAGATCGGTAATTTGTGCTTCATACAGATACCTTTCATACAGAGTTTAGCCTTATTCTAGACAAACAGTGCAGGCGAGCGTAAGGTGATTTCAGCACCTCTCTGGTTTCTTCTTATATTGTTTTTGGTCACTTATAATCTTTCGGGTGACCGTTTGCTGGAGCGTAGAACAACTATGATCACAAGTGTCCAAATCGTGCATGAATAACACATAAATTTGCGCCTCTTTCTCAACCTTCTTGAAAAGAAACTAGAAATGAACTTTGGTTTCTCATTCACTTGCCACATTTCTGTATGACACTTCCTGTAATAGTGCCTTTTTTGTGGATTCCTCGATCGTTGGTATAATAGCGCAAATATCAATATATCGAGCAAATAAGTGATTACTCAATTATTCAATAATTATTATTCTTTAGATGTTAATGAATGCTTGGAAACTTCTGACATTTGCCACAAAAATGCTACTTGCACCAATATTGAAGGAAGTTATTCCTGTCAATGTTTGAAAGGATTCATTGGGGATGGTAGACATAATTGTTCTGGTGAGTTTCATAGCCAAAAATGCAGGTCGGTTAGGTGCGTGGGCTCAAGCGGTTCAGTTTTCAGTTCTTTATGCAGGTCAGTGTTGCTCAAAGACAATATGGCGATTGTTTTAATCTTATCAACCAACCACACAATCTATAAACAAACAGAATTATAAAAATGAGTATAGTAGATATTATTATAAAAGATGACTCACTTATCGATGCTTGCGCGTCCACTTAGCTCGAACATTGCTGAACATTATTTAATATATAAGTTTTGCCTTGTATCATAAGACTGGAACGCTAGCTCCGTCGGAAGTTTGAAGCCAAGATGGCGGAAATTGAAGCTTTTTTGTAAGTATGGTCCAGGCTTTCGGCGCGGAAACATCCTCAGCCTTGCCGATGTGGTGTTTTGATAAATTTTCACATAGTATCAGAAAGTGCGGAAATTACTCTTGATTTTTCATCCTCTTGCTATACATTTCGTGTTGATACTGGCTATATAATGGTGTCTTTTCCGCAGATATATCCTGCTTGTTACGAGAGTATGGAAACATGTACTAAACGTTAACTCAATTGATTGCTAATACTCTTTAGATGTGAATGAATGCCTGGAAACTCCTGATATTTGCCATAAAAATGCTACTTGCACCAATATTGAAGGAAGTTATTCATGTCATTGTTTGAAAGGACTCATTGGGGATGGTAGACATAATTGTTCTGGTGGGTTTTCTGATATAAGTTTTAGTACCATTCATTAATACTATTTAATATAAAATCTTTGTGCATTGGCCTATATCTACTCACGCGATTGGTTAAAATCAATCACGTGGTTCCTTGTTGCCTTGCGACAGATCATGGGAATAATAATTTATTCGCAATATCACATGAAAATCATGGTTTATTCAAAAATGACAGCCTGCAGCGAAGCTTAGATCTTCAATGCAGCAATCAATGAACTCAGGTTGCATATTAAAAGTGTTCGAGACTTTATGTTCGTGCTTTGTCCCCGAGCCGGTGCGGAGCACCGTGCGAAGGTACTAATTCCGCTCGGATATTTACACCCACGATGTGCAAATGCGAAATCAAAGTCGTCCGCCATTATGCAATGGACCTCACGCCGTGGACGGTCTTCTACATTATGCGCATGCGCCAGTGTGAACTACTAAGCTCTTGATTGGTCGAGACAAAAATTTGTATTTTCAAACGTCAATGAATAACTGTCATTTCGCAAAATTTTGATGAAATTTATAAATTTATATTTTCATAAATATGAACTATATGCATTTTTAAGTTAAATTTAGGGGGAACTCGAATGTGATCAAGACTTTTCACGGTTTAACAAATAACAAGATGAAATTTTCCACGAAACTCACCGTGTATAATGTCTTAATGAAGTCGGAAGATTTTACCGTTGATAATATTTGATAATATTTCAGCTTTACAAAGTAATTCTTTTGTGGTAAACACAAGTTTAATATTCTCAAATGCATTTCACTATAAATCTGAATGCGTTATGAAAATCAAAACATTCCCGTGCCAGAACCAGCCGAGGCGTAACATAAAACTACGAAAGTTGTATGAGACGTATGAGACATGGTAATTAATAATAAAAACAAGACGCCTAGGCAGCGGTACACTCCGGCTAAGGCACAGGTTGCGTACCATATACATGTGTCCGTCAAAATAACGAGACCGGGCAGGGGTTTGTGATGCCTGAGCTAGAGCAATATTGTTCTTTCTTGAGGGCAAAATTTAGCTGTTGCTACCAATATTATTTTAATAGAAGAGCTATAAAACGGAGACAACAATGATACGTGACATCTGTAGAGTTTTAATGGCTTAGATCTAGAGTTCCAATGTAAAATTTCCACACATTGTTAAAGCTTGTTCAGTTGGTTTATCTTCCACAAAATATCCAGTTAATAAACAGGCACAGCCTGTATACAGTATATTAAAATCGAAGTTACTGTGTATGATGCAAACCTGCGAAGCTACAATATTCACCAATGATCTAACGACTGATTGTGCCAAAATCCTACGAGTAAAACCCGACGCCCTACGAATGCTAATGCCAAGGAAAACAGTCGCAGTATTTGATGGAAAACCCAAAATTTAAATCCTTTATAATCCACGGCCATTTTGACGTGAGCCCGTGAACCGTTTGAGGAAAAAAGCGGTTAACTCCATGAACGTAGGTCGCATTTGTGATGCCCTTTCCGGCCGCTGGTGTTTTAACCTTATTTGTACCATGGTTTTTTGATGTTGATATGACCGGGGCTGTGCTGATTGGGCACACCTCTCAGAAATTCTGTCGATTACCTGAAATTATCCTTTTAGTTATATTTTTAGGAAGTTTTATCTTTCTTTAACCTAAAAATAACAAAAAAGTTGAATTCACGTCCAAAATGCTGCGTTTTGGCCCCATTCGATGCGACCACCTATCGAAAAATGGCAAAAATCTTAAATATTCTATGATTTTGGTTCTTTTCTATGAAGAGACAAAAACATTTTCGATGTGTTATTTTTTTTTTAGATTCAAAAGACATAGTTTAATGTTATGGCATACCTCTGATGTCCATATATACTTCTATTTTTCTTTTTCATAAATCACCAACCCCCATTTTTCCCATTTTCGGCTCGATTTTGTTTGACAAATGTCGTCAAACTCCCGCATAATTTTGAACTTTCAAAAAAAATTTTCACAGTTGTGATGGTAGAGGAAAAATATTAAAAGTCATAAAAGGGCAAGCAAGTGGAATCCCTTGTTTAGGAATGATGAACAAATATTTATAGGGGTGTGCACATGTGCACACCCCCGGTATAAATAGGGTTAAGACTCCGGCGTAACTACGGTAGCCGGAGTAATAATTTACTATAACACTGACTATAGATAACTGACTTAACTTCCAGAAAAAAGTAAGAATCTTGTCGTATTTTTGCCATTATTTCACAAAATTATGAGGGTAAACTTTGATTCTTTAGAAATATACAGCTGTTGCGAATGCGAGATTGCGAGATGCTATGACTACAGTGCTTCCACGTGCAGGAAAATATTTCAATTTCGTTTTCAAACATACCATGTACTCTCCAAAACTCCCAACCCACATAAATTTTCTAACAATCATGTTACCATCCCTATGCTTAACTAATTTTGTTTAACCGAGGCGAGAGGTTGCTGCATGCATGTATTTCTAGTTTAGAAATAAACGCACTTGCTGACCATAAAATGAACTTGAAATGTCAATATTGCACTCGGCCGAAATTTCTCGTTTATTCTATGGTCAGCGCGTGTATTCATTTGTCAACAAAACACTCATAACCCTTAAGTATATCAGCAGTGAATTGGAAATGTCAAAAGCCAAATGACATTTCGAACCTTACTGCCTCTCGAGGAACCCATTCGGTTTGATCGATTTCGTTTCAGGACGTCGTATGATACCTATGCATTATTGCTTTTATACTACTTGCATTGCCGTATCCGAGTGTCTCAGGATCCGAGTAGCCCAGGATTTGGCATCTTTAATCCTTCGAATTCGCATAAGGCTCGAGAGGCTGTAAACCTGATCACCATTCATTTTTATACTACGATCATTTTATTCATTTACAAAAAATCTACTAACCGTAGGCGTTTTGAAATTCGAGTTTAAAAGTACAATTACTTTTCGAAGTAAGTTTTAATTGAAGCACGAACTAAAAAACAACCTATTTTCCCTTTAATTGAGCACGTAGTTTGCTCATTTTTGCCTCAGTATCTTTTATATTTCTTTAAGTGGCATCGTAAGCCAGCCCGACAATTTAGTCATGCTATATTAATATTCTGGTATTCATTGACTGTGAAAACAATGAATTTCTAAAGAGATGAATAATAATAATAACATCAAATTTGCATAGCAAGGCTAAATTGTCATGCAGGCTCACTGCGCCACTGATTTCGTACTAAGGTTTTCTTTAATGATCAGCCAGGCCGCCCTTGGCTTTCATGTCAGAGGCTTTTATACACATGCAGGGACGATGAAATCTTCATAAGGCGGTATCTTGTTCCCAAAAACATTTCAAGGTGCAATTTTTCTCAAGCATAGCCGGGCGATAAAATCCACTATAATCGTTAATAAATTACCTGTTTTTGACCAAACGGTCAGTGGCGTAGCCAGCTTCGTCATTTATGTGTTTTTATTGTGTTTTCATTGACTGTGAAAACAATGAATTTCTAAAGAAATGAATAATGATGATAACATAAAATTTGCATAGCATGACTAAATTGTCAGGCTGGCTACTAGCGTAAGGCATAAAATTGGACAAGAAAGCCACGGCTAATATTTTCCATTTACTTACATGGTTGTTAACTACTTTTTAGACGTTAATGAATGCGTAAAAATTCCAGATGTTTGCCATAAAAATGCAACGTGTATCAATATTGAAGGAAATTACACGTGTGAATGCCTAGACGGGTTTATTGGTGATGGTTACCATGATTGCTTCGGTGAGTTAAATACGAATGGCCTTAAACATCAATCGTCTTGAAGTTCGGATCGAAAGTTCTGCGTTAGACTAATTCACGTATTGTTTTCTATAAATATATATATAATAATTAGTTCACTACATTTCGAGAATATAAAAATCTTTGCTTTCAAACCTCTATAGAAAATAAACCTCCGCTTATAAAAACTCCAAGTTCAGTCTATGCGATCTTGAATATGGACTTCAAAATTCAGATCGAAGCACGCGATCCCGAGGACGAGGATCTAGTTTTTGAGGTAATGTCAAACGGAACCCTAACCACGGCTGAAATCACAGAAAACGGTTTTCTTACAATACCGGAACTTAAAGAAAGTGGAAGTGTTTATATACTGGTTAAAGATAAAAAGAATGCCCAGAATTTTCTAGTTCTCAATGTGAAAGCGATGCAATGTCAATGTGAACAAAATGGTAAATGTCAGAAAAAGCAGAATGTCACTTATCCAGTGAAAAGATCCGACTATATTTGCCGTTGTAATGAACCATTCGCCGGTGAGAAATGTGAAAAACGCTCAAATCCTTGCAGAGAACAACCTTGTTTTCCTGGACTCAAATGTTCATCCGCACTGAATTCTGAAGGATTTACCTGTGAAAAATGTCCACCATTATTTAAAGGCGATGGGAAATATTGTGAACTGAATAACGTGAAAGGTATGTTAAGGGCCGGGGAGTTGTGTGATTCATAGCTATGAATGCTAACCAATGAACTAGTCATCGTCATTGTTTAGAAGTGTGAGATGTTGGTAACCAGTATAATTATAATAGTTCCTGACTCCAAGAATATTATTTATAGCTATATATTGATTAATACAATTAGCCATCTCTTGGGGAGAATTATGTGAAATTCTGAACACAATTTTTGTAACTGCATATGAAATATGTTTTATCCAAACCTCAAAGTAGCTCTCTCTTGAATTCTGCTTATATAGACGTTGAAAAGAGCCACGTGGAGTCTAAGATGACATTGAAAAGTGAAGAATGGGATGACAAATTAATGGACAATACATCCAAGGAGTACAGGGGACTTGCCTCTCGGATAACAATTGAGGTATGTTGAGGAAAACATTAAATGATCCTATATACTGAAAACCAACTATTTGATGGCCTAAATTATAAATATATATATATATATATATATATATATATATATATATATATATAATATTTTCAGTTATAATATTTTTTATAATATATTTATATATTTATATTTATATACACTGTATGCATACGGATATGAAATAGTTGACATTCTATACGAAAACCTGCATGGTCGGTATAGAAGTAAATAACACGGCTATCTTATCGAAAAAACTACATTAATTTTGTAAAATTTATTGTTTTATAGAGGAGGTTGCGCGAAAAAAAAGCAGTAGATATACCTTAGAATTTAAATTATCTTTTCGTCCGCCAGGTTCATTCACTTCAGCACGACATTTTTTCTTATGAACCAATAGCCTATATAAACCTTTATCTGGCCGATCTATTGTTAATATATAGTTAATCTCTAAATTTAAACTCCTCAAATTATTCTAAAATAGCTGCAGAAATACGAGTATTTTACCTGTCGAGGTTTATATGACTCTAACTTTTGAATCGTAAGTTATAAATTATAAATTTAGACGTTTAGATTTAAAGATTTAAAGTATTTTACATACTGTTTAAACGCTTGAAATTAATTTTGATAATCTGTTTTCTATGCTTTGTCTAGTTTAATTTGGTTTTGACTCTTTTTTCTTCGTAAATTGAAATCAATTTTCCCGTCATATACTATCATGATTGATTTGCAGACGCTTTTTAGCAATCCTCTCATATTTAACAGATCAGAACAATTTACAACAACGTTCCAGGGTTTAGTTATGTAATTGTCAAAAACTTCAGGTATGTCAAATATAATAATCAAATATAATCTTGCCTTCATTATAAATAAATATGAGGATTTTTGTTTGTCATGTTTACTTCATAAAAACATGCATGTCTATACAAGAGTTCAGATACAACAGTTCCGGTCTCTCGGTTTGGGTAACAGTATCATGTTCAATGTCCGTTGTTTTCCTACATTTCAACTTTACCTAGACAATTCTTTCACCATTATAGGCTATACTTTTTTGCATAATGTGTAGACAAAATTTGCACAAATTACCATGTAAAAAATGAGAACTTGCACCAGTTGGCCAAAACCAAACACTTATGTTCCCGTATTTTTTCCTTCCGCGCCTTCCATTCGAGGAAGCGACGGTTTTGTTGTAATCATTTGTAATGTACACTGGCGGTCAAAAAGAACTGCTTAAATGCTGCTATTGTCGTATGTAACAGGAATCGTAACAATCAGATGCAAATTCTTAAAGAAGAAGCGAGTATAGGAGAGAGCTTCATAGGCATTCAGTTGGATAATTTTCTTACTCCAAGCAATATTTCAGTAATGTAATGCAACCTGCCACACTTCCAAGATAGTCAAACAATGGTTTCAGGAAGAGGGAGTGACAGAAATGGATTGGGCTGCACAGTCAAAATATTTTAGCCCTATTGAAAATCTGTCAAGAGGATAGTGCAAGAAAGGAATTAATTCATAAAGCGGCCACGATTTATGGGTTGCTGTATAAAGACTGTCCATCAGGATGAATTTCTTTTGACCGCTCAAGATCACCACATTAACAAAAAGTATGCCACGCCGGTGTAAGGCCGTCATCAATTATAAGGCCAAAGGAGGGTCAAAAAAATATTAATATTTCATATAGCTTAGCATGTAATCTGGTCTATATTTACTCGTATATATTGTTAAAGGGACAGTTAAATTCATTTGAGAGCATTTTAACTTGTTTTGAGCAGTTGTTTTTGACCGCCTGTGTATATCTCCCGCTGATGAGATTTAAATTTACCTCCTTACAATTAATCACAAAAAAAACATTATTTGATGAAACCAGAAGCAAACCGTGCTTGTTTCTCCCAATAACAGCTGGACACTTTAAGATACTTGCACCTAATTTTACGTGTTTTAATTACAGACCCGGGAGTATAATTGTAAATTTCATGTTGATATTTTCCGAAGAAGTAAAGGCTCCTCTTGAAGCATTGCTCAAGGTGGCAGAGACTGGAAAACTGGGGAACATGACCTTCGAGATGAACGGTTAGAAATGAATTGCATGCTGCTACAATTGTACAAAATAATTACAAAACTGGCCTTATCAGCTTATGCAAAAAAATGCGAGATTTCAGCAGCTATACACATTACCATATTAGTTTTATATTTTGAATATAATTATTTCCCTATATTCTGACGCAGAATAGACATTATACCGGAAGCCTCACTCTTCGCATTTGGCGTCCGAAATTTTTTAAGTTTGTGACGTCAACCAACGGAAGCCAAATACGCGAACACACGCAGGCATAATGGCACTTATATAGTATCCAATTCATAGAGGTTATAAATAACACTAGAGGGGACACCGAGGAGAAATTGGGAAGCGCGTTGATCGGGGGCAAATTCAAGTCCCAGATGTTCACTCATTCACGATGTCCGAGATCAAAGTATGTCGTTTTTGACGAGTTTTTTTTATTTCTAAATGGTTTTTCCCCTAAAATACCATTTCAGAATGTCTAAGGTAGTAAACCTGGTTCCAAAAAGCGCTATTTTTCCTTAAAAACCTGGAAAGCAACCTAAAAACGAATATAATTTTTTAAATACAAATTTTAGTTGTTGCTAACGTGGTGGCTAAGGAGGCATTGATCTAGCCAATCAGCGCTTGGTTTAGCATCCGGCACTTGAATTTGCCCCCCACTATCGCGTTCCCTTTTTTGACTGACATTTTTATGCCTCCTCTAGGGTTATTTATAATCTCTATGATCCAATTTGTGTCCAGTGAGCTCTATATATATATATGGAGTAGTAGCTTCGCTCATTTGGCTAATGTTCAAGTGAAGCCAAAGATGGCGGAAATTGAAGGAGCTATTGCAGGACACCCCAGTCTTCCTATACGTGCACGGTCAAACTGAATTCATAGTTTTTGGCTATTTTTTGGTATTTTTGAGTGGGAAATGGTAGAATTTTTATTGAAGTTAAATGCTGGTGCTCTGTGTTAGGATATTTTTAAGTTTCACTTAGATTTGCTGAGAAAGGAGCAATATCTGAAGAGAAGTGAGTGTGGGTTGTTGACGTTCTCGCAAATAACAGAATACACTAAAAAAAATGCAAATAAAATGTTACCTTATCTCAGTTTCAAGAGAAAAGATATATGTATTAAGCCACCTTCCATAAAAACAGTAACTTGGAAGGAAATTATCCGAAAAATATTTGACCGCTCACGTAGGAGGACTGCGGTCTCCTGCAATAGCTCCTTCAATTATGGCTTCACTTTTAGCAACCAAATTACTACTCCATATATATATAGAGAGAGAACTTTTTCATGGGGGTACAAAGTTCCTGCACACGCCAGAATGGCGTAGAATTACGTAGAATGAAGCGTGCGTTTTTGAATAATTTCGGACAGGAAAGCATTAGCAAAATGCAAAAGACGTGCATCTCGATTTCAGCGATTTTAGTTTGTAAGGATGATTTTCTTAGCACACGTACTGCGGTTTCATCCTATTCGAATGAGTATATAATTCTTCATATTCTCATCCGCATAACCACGATATAATATTGTATATAAACAAGATCACGTTTTTGACACGGAATATTGCCAATACTATCCTGCAGGTCTTCATGAAGACTATCCAACAGATGACTGGGTCGGGGGTAGATCACTGACAACATTTCACTTAAAATTTGTAATTCTAGTTGGAAACCTTATTATTTCTAATTCTAGTGAATGGACCTGATGTAGAGGACGACAAAAATGGCTCAATGAACGAAACGATTCGCATTGCTGTGATAATCGCTGGTGTTGTCGTCCTCCTTTTCCTCATTATACTTATTGTTGTGCTGCGCGTGAGAAGACAGAGAAAGCACAGGGAAGAGGAACTAAGGAAGAAGCAAAGAGCCGAAATTACAAGAAGCCAGCCGAAAGGAATTTCATACAAGGGAAAAGCTGGTGAAGAAATGGACATGAAAGAGATGGAATTCAAGGCTAGTTGCGTGGGTGGAGACTTAAATATCGAACCTTAATTCGGCGATTGAGATTCAATACCTGCTTTTAAATGAGAACATTTTAAATAACGATATCATAATTGTTTTTCTGCACTATCTATAACGCTTACAGTACTGTCCAGAAATAAGTAATTAATTTAGCTTGTATATAGGTACATGTTTTAGCGTGTCCGAAAATAACCTAACAAAAACCGATGTTAACCTGGGTCAAACCGCGGTGAGACCGATGTTGAACTTCAGTCGAACCTCGATCTGTAACATTCCGTTCGGAAGTGAACGGCAAACTCATATACTTATTCTTTAAAAATGATTGCGAATTGGGAATACTGGGACCTTATTAACACCATTAATATAATTCAATATAGAAATTACTAAATAGATATTATACTACTACACTTAATGTCGTTATATAATTACACAAGTTACTGCATTGAACAGTTCTTCTATAAAAAGGGTTAAGTTAGCAGTAATCGGTTCATTTTGCAGTAATTTTCTTAAATGGACATTATTATAAAAAGAATGTCTCTACATATAATTGGGTAATGCACTGGATTCTGCCATATTTGTCTTAAAATAATGATATAACATTAACAAAACTATAACAAAAAAAACTGATAACACAACTACTTTTACAGTTTCTTTCGTTTTTATTGCTTCAAAAAAAGGGGGGAAATTCTTTAACCAGCATTTTTTCACAGAAACAAAATTCAATTTTCTATCCACATGATCTCACGATACATTCATGCGTGTTAAGTTCAAGAGACACTAACATTCACATTCACATCCACGACTCCTCATCCGCGTCCTAATATGTTATCAAATTCTGCCGTGGTGGATTCTACCATGCCTCTGTAGTTTTACTCCAAATGAAGGCAAGATTTAATTTTTTTAGATTTGATTTAAGCCAAAGCGATTTAGAATTAAAGTCATTTTAAGGCCATTTTTTCACACCTTCAAAAATATGTGTACATGAGTCATTATTCATTGACATTACTTTACTTTAACACAGTAAAGTAATTCGATTTTGCATTCCTTTACAGGACCTCTTTAACTGAATTGTTTCCACTTCATGCAAGATATTGCCTGATAGTGCAACAGCTGTATAAATCGCATATTGAATAATGATTTGCGGCGCAATCGCATTTGTCGACTTTGAGTTCTGCTAAATGGAACAACACCATATTGAGAATGCTTACGAATTGAGGATTTACGCACCAAGGAGGCTGGAAGTTACCCAGCATAGCTAGCGAAGTGAGAAGTATGAAAATAAATGGGGGAGAATATCAAGTAAATATCAAGTAATTTGATTATATTCCTGTGAAAACACGTTTATTTTTTACAAACTGTATATATATATATAGGCAAAAATGTTCTCCGTGTTTACCATACTTACCCTTGACGGGCATATTAAAACCTAAGAATGTAAAATTTGTCCCTTTCCCTCACCAGCTCACTCATTACGAGTGCCTAGGCCTTGGGACCCTAGGAGGCGGTTTAAAAGGAGAAAGGAACACACACACAACCCAAGCCATACGTCCATCCAAAGCGTTAATCAGCTGAATGTGAGAGATCGATTTTACGTATAATTAGTATTTATTTTACGGATAAATAGTTATCGCCTGAGGATCGTACTAAAACTAGTACGTGAAACACAGTGTAGCGATGAAATACAATTTTATGATTATATTTTGTTGATTTGTTTGTGTTTTTGCTCTACTATTTACTTGTATTGAGCACTCAGGTTTACTACGCACAAATCCAAGATTATATATATATTATATATATATATATATATATATATATATATATATATATATATAATATTATATATATATATATATATATATACATATAACCCATTTGCAAAAACGTTGGCCGCAGATAGATAGACATATGCAATTCTAATTAGATTTCGAGTATCTATCTATCTATATCTATCTGCGGCCAACGTTTTTGCAAATGGGTGTATATATATAATATAATATATAATATATTATATAATATATATAATATAATATATATATCCTAAGGTAGGCAATTTCAATCACTATATTCACATCGACACATGCAAACAATCAGAAAATACGTCGATCTATCCCTAAAAACTAACAACAGAAATACTACGATTTTATAATATACTGGCTATATTCAACGAGCGGGCGCGGAGCACCTGCGAGAGTACTAATTCCGCTCGGCGATTAGGAATTACATCCGGAACCCGGTAGAACATAGGCGAATCCAAAGTCACAGAACACCTATCAGAAGTAGAACTCCTGTACTTTTTTCGTAAGTGTGATTCGTCATGATTCGTCACTTAGCAAGTGCATTTTTTTGAGGCAGTAACCCCTCTGCCAATACTAAAAATGGCCTGATTTTAGACATTGGCAGGGGGTGACTACCTCAAAAAAAACGATCACTACTTCAAAAAAGTTTGCAGGCAACAAAACAAATAATATATCTTTTGTTGTCATGTACTCATAAAACATGTAAAAAAGAAAATATAGCTGTAGTTTGTTGTTAAATAAATATTGTTAGAATGTTTTTTCGTAAGTTTCAGAGGGATTAAATTGATAAACAATGAAATGAAATAAGTGAATTCACACAAACACTTTTGAATTTTCCCGGCTTCACTCCTCGTTCAACGTTTTTCATAAGAAAGGGCAATTTAAGTTAATACAGATAAATTTAAGTTGATACAGATAAATTTAGTATACTTTACTTTGTAGTTTTCACGAATGCTTTTATCGTAAAAATACTGTGCAAAACGCACTTTATGTTCTCTAAAAGATGTTTTTAATGCTTGCATGTTGAAGTATTATTTTTGAAGTTTCAAAAAACCGCGTGTTTAGTTGCGTGAAAAGGCTAGGCATGACCCCAAAATTTGGCTTCAAATCACCGGCCGGAGGTAGCCTTCCAGTTCTTTTGAGTTCAATGGTTCTTTTGAGTTCACTGTGGACGGTCGACATTGCATGGGTGGTTTTGTAAGTTATGCGCATGCGCGAGTAACGTCTGGTAAACAACGAACGTTCTGATTGGCTAAGACAGAAAGTTTGTATTTCAATGAGAACCTCAGCAATTTAACTGTCATTTCGTAAACATTTTTGTAAAAGCGTTTCATAAACTTTGTGCAAAGAAAGTAAAACGAGAAGAAACAAGATATATGAAGCATGACAGTTAGCAAAGATGAACGAGGATACAGTCAAGACAAAGCCGTGTAAGAGGAATAATTCATAATCTGCAAGCTTATAAGTGTTTTCAAAGACAAAGGGTACGTGTTTACTTTGTTTATTTCGTATTTGTTTCGCGGTAAGGATGAGCTGTATTTGTATACTTTTCAGCTTTGTATGCCATTTATTTGTTAAATTTTCAGCTTTTTATGCAAACGCATAAACCTGTGAAAAGCTATTACACCTTTGCTTTAACTTCAAAAAGTGTTTTTGAAAGTGCAATTTGAATTTTGGTATCAAAAATACACACTATATTTATAAAGTATAAAACTTTTAGCCGCCGGCGTCGATTGCAATTACAGAATAAAATAACACATGAAGTTTTTTCTTTGTCTCTGTGAAGATTTTGTAGTGTTTTAATCGTTTGTAACTTCGATTTTAAAGCTTTACTTAATTGCTGGCATGGTATAATGCAGCAAAACTGCTAAATTGAACGGGCAATATTTACACTTTAGTATAAACTGACTAATAGGCTATCACTTTTCCTGCGTTCTGATTGGCTACGCTACTGGTAGGCTATTAGTGATAGCCTACTAGTAGCAAAATTCAAAACAATGGCGGAAAATTCGCGTTTCGCCGAAGTATCTGAAGATTTTTTGGACGACTTGTTGGACAATTCCGTACCAGAAAAAACAAAAAAAGCAACAAAATACGGAATTGCAATTTTTAAGGGTAAGAAAATACATAAAAATAACGTATACTCAATTGAATTTTTATATTTAAACTGAATTTTAAAACATTTTACGCGAACAACAATTAAAATATTTTCTTCCTTTAATATACGAAATAAATTTCAGAATGGTTTGCAAGCCAACAAGAATTTTATATTGTGTTTCCTAGTTGTAAATTAATGTTATAGTTTATACTAAAACAATTAGACAACTCGGCCTCGTTGTCTATGAGCAAATAGTCAACTCGGCTTCGCCTCGTTGACTATTCGCTCATAGACAACTCGGACTCGTTGTCTAATTGTTAAATAGTCACTAGCTTTATGATTATTTTTGTATTGAATGATGGAAACATAAGCTATAATATACTCGGTAAAATATAATAGGACTGATTTGAGTCTTGTGACATTTCATGATATAAGTTCAAGTCAGGAAATTGTGTACTTGATTTGAAATAGCGAGGGGTGTATTTCGATATATTTCTAGTTTAATATTGAAAACAAGTTATAGAAGCGAGAAAAATGCGAAAAGTTTTTGATATTTTACTCATTTTTTAAATGGGACGATGTTGGAGTTGGACCCGCGCTGTTGACTTTTGAGAACATTTGAAAATGACGAATTTGTTATCTCTTCTTTCAAGGAATGTTCTACTATGGGATTAGCAGCACAATCTTTATCCAAACTCGAAGGACTCTTCGGAATAAAACTATAACCCGTCAATGAATAAGGTATTTCCAAATTGCCATTACTCAAACTTACTTGACCCTCTGTTGTTGCTGGAAAGCCCACAAGCAAGGTAAGCCAAGATGACGTTGAATATGCACTAATCGTTACATTTGAGCGGGGACACTTGTAAATTTCTAGTTTGTGGCAACCAGATGGAAATTCCATGTTATCGTATGCTGTGAAAACTTCGGAATCCGTTTTCTTGACAGTTTAATTTCGACAAATAACGCGTTCGGCTGCGGAATCTCATACCCAGCTGCACTAGGACCTGATAAATAATAACGCACGTAGTGGAGACCAGGATATCGAACTGTCATTGTTAGTGACTGTGTCGTGTTAGAATTTTGCTGGAAACGTAAATAATCCGCGAGCCGGTGCGGAGCACCGTGCGAGGGTACTTAATCCGCTCAGATATTTACACCCACGATTTGCAAATGCGAAATCAAAGTTGTCCGCCATTATGCAATGGACTTCACGCCATGGACGGTCTTCTACGTTATGCGCATGCGCCATGTACGTGAACTACTAAGCTCTTGATTGTTCGAGACAAAAATTTGTATTTTCAAACGTCAATAAATAACTGTCATTTCATAGGCAGCCCAATGGCGAATGGTTAGTTGAAATAAAAGTGCACTAAAACATTGAAAATTAGAACAAAGCTATCCGTATTTTGATTAAATTGAACATGTATCATTTATATATATATGTGTACACCCATTTGCAAAAACGTTGGCCGCAGCGGCAAGGGCATGGCGAATTATTGAGAATTGTTTTGGGGTTGCAACATCACGTTTTCGAGGGTTTCGAAAACCAATCATTGCAAACGTGGAGAAGGTGATAAATATTACCAAAGCAGTTGTTGTTTTGCACAACTTTTTAATGGCAACAAGATCTCCAGAGGATACCCACAGTTACTGCCCACTTAGCTACACAGATCATGAATCAG